CAATTTGTAATAGCTAAAACTTGGAAGCAGCCCAATTGCCCATCAACTGGAGACTGGATAAAGAAAATGTGGTTTTTTAATAAAATGGAGTACTATTCAGCCATAAAAAATGAAATTACAGACATTTATAGCTAAATGGATGTACATTGATGTGATACTCTTTAAGTGAAATAAATAGGATGCACATGTGTAAATACCAAATAGTTTCTCTGGTGTGAGAAACAAAGTGTAAATAAGGACTAACAGGTATAACAGCTAATGTGAAGTAGAGAAGGGGCAAAAGGGAAGGGGAAGTAGGAGGGGTAGGGGTGAGGAAAGAAAGGAATAGAATTAAGATGAGAAAATGAAAAAATGGAAACAGTCTCTGGAAATAGGGAGGATGGAGGGGTTGAAGGGAGGGCAGGGGAATGGTAACAAAATAAGAATCAAGAGAGATTATGTAAAGGTGCAAATTTCCAATGATGAATGTCATTATACTGTATACCTAAAATGTACCAATAAAATGAATTAAAATTTTTAAAAAATTATGTTTATGCTATAGTTCTTTAAGGGCATAAGAGCACTGTTTAAGTATGATGCATATGCATTAATTTTAAAATATTTTATTCCTAAAATTGTTAATAATTATCTGAGACTGGCTGCTGACCTAAGTTTAGAGTGTCTGAAGTTTAGGGTAGCTGTGGCAATTTCTTAAAATGAGACAATAAAGTTTACCCCATTGATTGACTTTTGCTTTCATGAAAAAAAAATATTTTTGAAGACCCCCACCAAAAACGAAATACTAGAAATATATTATGGAATGTTCTGCTTCCACAAATGACAAGATAATTAAAATCAACTCTAAGAACTGAAAAAGTTGGACAACAAAAAAACCCCACATTTGTTTGAAAGCATCAGGGAGCTAACAAGGCAGTAAAATATAATGGGCTGAGATCCTGGAAAAGGTACTTCAAGATAAAGCACAAATTCCAAGAGAGGCAATTTAGGTACTGAGAATCTGAGCATTTTTTCTCATAAAACTGAGAGTTCAGGGCATCCCAAAAAAGGATATGGGCAACCCCCTCCTCAAGTTTGAGATTGGGACTTGAAAGAACTACAATCTAAGAGTAAGAATGTATAGAAAATAGATGGGTTCTTACAGGAGCTAACAGTATCTTCAAATCATCTCAAACCCTGACTAGATTAAGGTGATCTGGGACTGCTAAAATCGTACAGGAAGGAAATCCATTCTAGAGGAACAGACCATCACCCTGGAGCTCAGGTTATCTCTGTAAATTTAATTAATGATACAATGTTTGGTACCTAAAAATCAATACAATCAAAATTTGAGAACAAATAGATCATCTAGACAAAAAAATTAACTATGAAATTCTAAAACTGAACCAAGCTATTGAACTAATGGACTTGATAGATGTTTACAGAGTATTCCACCCCACAAAATTAGAATACACATTCTTTTCGGCTGCACACAGGTCATTCTCCAAAACAGACCACATGCTAGCTCATAGGATACGTAAATGTAAAAGAATTAAAGTGACCCCCTGTATATTATCAGACCATAGTGCAATAAAATTGGGGATCAACAACATAAGAAACTGCAAAACTCCCACAAAAACATGGAAATTGAATAACACCCTCCTGAACAACCAATGGGTCACAGAGGAAATTAAAGAAGAAATTAGACAGTTTCTACAAGTAAATGATAATG